AGAGTCTCTGGAAAAAGTGGAGTCTGGCATCCCTTACAGTTCTGAGCAGAGGGAAGGGGCTTTAGAGTACTTTGTTCCCTACTATATCCCCAGCATTTAGAACATAACAGGTGCCTTAATAAATATGTGTTGTGTTAATGCATAATTAATAAATAGTTGATAATCTTATAGCATCCATGACTAAATATTTGAGAATACGTATTTGATGAATAATTATATAATCATCGTAGACACCTTTTAATGGTACAGCAACATTAAATGTTTTACTGGTGCTTTAACTATAACTTTTTGAGTAGAGTGCTTACTGACAACTACAGCAAAGTAGACCAGACCCATGAAAGAAAAAAGCTCAGAGAATTCTCTTAGGCCTCAGAGCACTGGATACTACTTTGCATTTAGTAGGTAGTCAGTTGTTGAATGAACTGAATTTGTTTCTTTGTTTTAGTTTGTGGAGTTTGCTTTACATTCTGAAAACATCATAGTCACCACTCTTATCTTGGAACAGGAAAGCCATGGTATTACAGGTACTATGTAACTACATGAAATATATCTTTTAACAGCAGTTTAGACTTGGATGTGGGTAATTTGTAAAGTAGTTGCAACTGAAATATTATTAGGCCTTATTGTTTTCTGTGAAAATTTGCTAATTAGTGTGGCATTAAATAGATTTCCTTACATGATACGAAACATCAGATTTTTAGTCACTGCTCTTTTATTCTCTCCAATTTCTTCAATTGACCCTATCAAATTATTGCCTCTTTAGGAATTATGTATATTCAATATATTATATAAAAAATCTTTGTAAATTGCTTAAATGACCAAAAACCTATTACAGCTAACGGGCCTCCTTTGTCTTAAATTCACCCAGTAGGCTTATTCCATTTTGTTACAATTAACATCTATTATATAATAATATATAACAAAAGTTTAAGTGGAGCAAATGGAGCTTAAGACTAATTTCTGTGCTATTACATTGTCATTAGTGATGCTATTTATAATTATGTAACAAGAACTAGGGAATATGAATTGGTTTTCTACGTCAGACTTTCATCCATACATACCAGATTGATGAAAACCATAAACTCTGAAATACCAGGCAAAGTTTCTAAATTTAATTTATTCTTTTGAAATATTTCAATTATTTAGTCGGAAATATCTACTTATTTGTAATAAAGCAAAGAATCGTGTCTTCCAAGATACATTAACAATGTAACCTTAACTAAAGTCACTGTGATCAACATTTTCAAAGGCCTGCTGTTTTGTTTATGCACCCAGATATTTGGAATTATCCAGATGTCTGAGTTTTCCACTCTTCATCAAAACGTTCTGGCATGGCGTATACAGTCTGTAAACTGAGAGTTTCTTCTTTGCTATGATCTTTGGATTCCGCATCATTATATAGTTTTGTAGGTACCAACCAGACATTTTAAATGAACTGGGTTAGGTAATGGCATAGCTAAAGGTAAACTGACCTGAGTTTTGCTCTGTTGCACCAGAATATGCATTTCATATGATGTGCTCACAGCCCACATTGAAATTCTAGGTCTAAATGAACAAGACAAACACCATCACATGGAAAGAATCATGCCCTGGGCAAATGCTCCACTGGTTTCTACAGCATTGGTACTTACTCATGCAGTCCTCTTGTGAAATGTGGTTATTAATACTGATGTCATCCACTGCAATCCCACCAAGGTTTCCTTTTCCGATTTCGCCCTCGAAAATCACCTAACAAAATGAGATAATTTTCACAGTACTGAAATATTTGGTCCCAAATAGCAGTGTTTACAAATTCTTGTTCAGTGTAAGCTATGGCATATAAATTAAATTCATGAGATTTCTCATCAGCACACGCTTAGCTCATCAATCCATATTAACTGCCTGGCGATGGCATAAAACTTGTTCTCACACTCTCTTTTTATAACACAAACTTTAAAACTGGAAAAAACAGCAGATAAAGGAAATGCTCATTGTGACAGCCCAGAAATAGATTATAAAGTGGCATTTCCCTTCTTTCTCAGCAAATTGGTTCTATTCCTGTAATCTAGGAGGCTGTGAAATAGGCTACTGAGATTATCATCATTGCAGCAATAGCTCAAATTCCGGAAACCTCTGAAATAATTTTTGGAATGATTCTGGCATCTCATTTGCTAACTTTCAAAATATTACACTAGTGTCCCCAAAGCAGCTGCCCTCCCCACCCTGGGGGAGGAGTTTACCTGGTAAAGTTTCAGAGACTTGTGGAGCAGGACACGCCCTTCCTTCCAGTGGTCTCCTTGGTGTCCAATGGCCATCCAGACCAGCTGGTCATACTCCTCTGGCTTCTGGTAGCGCAGTTTGACCCTCAGCGTGCCCACATGAGAACCAGACATGTGGTACCAGAAGGTCATGCAGTGGGCGGAGTTCTGGGAATACACCACAGGGCTCACCAGGCGAGCCACTTTGCCCTTCTGGTTTTCATCGGCTTGGGAGTAGATGAAGTTGCCATCTCCTGCTGTGACAAAAAACTGTGTTAGGGAGAGTGGCCAAATTTAGGACTCCTTTGTCTCTTTTCTTTCTAGTTCCACCACTCAAATCTTCTCTCCTAGGCTGAGCACCGAGAACCCAGACCCGCAGCGGAAAGGGAACAATGTGTGGTTGTTGGGTGATCTCTTTGGCACTCAAGTCTCAGCTCTAAGCTTCCGTGGATGGACATGTGACTGCGGGAAAGCTGCAAAGGAGCACTGAGTCAGACACTACTCATTGGGAATGAGTTGTCATATGGACGGACACAGGCTGTGACTAAAGTCAGCCTTAGCACCGTTGCAAACAGACTGAAAGCAGAGGACAGACCTATTTTTGTGCAACTTTAAATTGCCTTCAGCAGCACCTGTGTGAATGCAGAAATTAAATGAACAATTAAATCTCTTCTTATATATCGTCCAAGCAGCAGGACTTCTGGTTGATGATGTTTTGATCACTGTAACTGCTTGATAATAATAAAGATACAGTTTTCCCAAATAATCTAGTGATTCTTTTTCCAAATTCAGATTATTTTCCCCTCGTTTATTTTAATGGCTTATAAATTCCTGAACTAAACCTGAGAGCCTGAATCTCAACTGTGATCCCCACTCTTGTGCAATGCAGGCTTCTGGTTCAGGAGAGGCAAGGTTGCATTTTCAAGGCTTATTAGAATATGGCATTTTGGTAACATACACACTTGCTGAGCTGTGAGGACTTATTCTTGGCTTTGCTTTTAATTACCCCCAGTGGGAGCATTTCCTCCTGCCACCACCTGGTCTAAACACACAATTCATGTTTCGCTGTTTGCTCTGCAAATAGAAATCACCTACTCTACGCCTCACCTGATGTAAGTGAATCAGATGCTCAGGCCTCAGTGGGCAGTGGGGTGTTTTGTTGGCTGTCTCAGAGGCTTGTGTATCTGTGAGATAATTTTTTCACACTGCATATGTGGACACATCCTCGTATCTGCTCACGGTGTCAACAGTGTCCAGGTGGAAGTGGATGTGTCAGTGGGCAGCTTTCTTCCCTCACCTGGCTGCTTAGGTGAGACTGCACCAAAGCATGCTTAATGAAACTGACGGGCGGAATAATAAAAGGAAAGTGGAAATAAAAATCACAGCTCCAGCAGTGCATTTGATGTGTTTGTGGGAGGTTGAGGGGGGGGTCCCCTGTGTCTAAGCCAACTCAGTCACTCCTGGGATTTGTCTTATCCCACTAATTTACCAAATGGCAGTCACTTGTGGGTATGACAACATCATTTCATTGAGATAAGTAGTGGATCAGTCCACCAAGACTGGACAGGTAGGCAATGCACCCATTTTGCCTTTGACTCCCCAATCTCATGGAAAAAGACTAAAGTTGGAGATCTACTTAGAGGAAACACATTTACTGAGCTCACTTATTGGGCAAGTTGGGAAATAGGTAGTAGAAAGGAGAGACCTGAACATGGGTAGTAAAAAGAAGTGTCTGAGAATTCTATCCTGCCATCTGTCCTGCTGCTGTTGTGGACTTCGAAAACTTTGCTTGTGTCACTTTACTGTTTAAAACGCTTCCCTGGCCCCTCACTGCCTTAGCCCATCCAAACTTCTTCATGCAGCATCCAAGGCCGCACCTCCCTTGCCACTTAGCTAAGCGCTTCGCACAGGACTCTGCCCAGATCACACCACTGCCAATCCACCGAGATGCCACGCTCTCTCCCACACACGCCATTCCTTACTCAAGCCGAGCTGACACTGCACAAGATAGGACTGCTCTCTCTGCCCCGGCCTGTGCTTTCACCGCCGAGGAGTGCGGTCCCGCGCCCTCATTCCACTGTGCCCAATTGCTTCCCACCCGCACCCAGACCATAAGCTCCTCAAGGGTGCGACCGCCCTCCTTGTAGGGGTATCTGGAGTGTCCAGCACAGCGTCTGCCCTGTAGCAGGGCTACTCAAATAGCACGTGCTCAGTGAGCCAGGGGAACACGCTGAGCTTCAGGACACCTCTGTGAGGAGGTCCCCAGCTTCATTTAGAGGTCGAATGCAGAAGATCAAGTGGCATTCCTTTACATACATTCAAAATTGGGCATCAGGATAGTGTACCTAGATAGTGTTAATTAAAAAAGTCTCCACGTCTGATTTGCAAAGTGCCACATAGCATCCCATGTCGTCTGTGTGCCTGTGTGCTGTGTGCTCTTTTCATGCAGCTTTTTTTATGTTAACAAATTCCTGCCTTTCAGATGTCAGGCTCGGCCATCTCTCTCGGCAAATGATTGTGTTTCCAGTGCTGCAAGAGGCTCTTTCTAGTCAGGGCAGGCCTGGCATTACAGTCAAATAAATGTGCGTGTCTGGGAGAACAAAAAAGACAAATCCTTCTGAAGGAATCACACTTCTCAGCTGTTAATCTAAGACAAGCCCTTCTTTTCTGATACTCAACACATAAAGCACTGATATTTTTCCTTTCAGGGGTTTTATCACAGCTCTAGGTCAAGAACTCTGTCTTCATTTTCTCAATTAGCACTTTACTTCTGCAAGCCTTTTAGCTTTTGTCTCTGGCTAACATAGCTTTTAACCTCCTTTGAATGTCAGATCCTACTGAGCCATTTTGCTCCACTTTGCATCAATTTTTCTACCATTACTGCCTTCATTCCAGCTAATTGCATTTGGTTAATTTGATGCCATTTATATGTACAGTGCCATTTACAGTCAAAGTATTTTAAGTTTTCTAAAACTGCTTGTCTTAAGATTCAATTGAAAGTGTCTCAGAATTGAAGGAGTCCAATTTTATCCAATTTCCTTGTCATTCTCATTAGGCAAGGAGCTAGCTGCGGTGGAAGGAGGTCTATTCAACTTACTTAATGGTTATAGCCACTGGGGAAAAAGTGAACAATAAAATGAGAAAGGCATGAAGTACCCTCTGCCCATCCATCGGCCCACTGACCCACTGGCCCAAAGCACCAACACTGGGGAAACATTTGTTTAATGAGATTTCTAAGCAACAGCAAATGCCCCTCTGGGGTATCTGTGGGCAGCCACTACTTGAGTAAGCAGTTCTCTAAGCATCACTGAGTAGGGTAGACTTTTGGGGGTTAGGAGTGTGTGTGTGCATGTGTGTGTGAGTGTATGTATGTGCATTGTTTGTTTGTTTGTTTGTTTGTTTTTGCTGAACAGTGCTGGTTCTTTATACCATACTTCAAGTGGGATGATGAAATGACTAGGAAGAAAATAAGGTGGTGGTGGATAGAAGAGTTCACAGAAGTGGTGGTCAGTTCTCTCTCTCCCCCAAATCATCCCTCCCTTTAATTAATCTTAGAGAGAAAGTATCACAGGAGGTGAGGTGGGTTTCGGGCTGGGGTGTGGTGAAGTGTCTACCTGCTCAGGTTTAAAATCTTCCCCCAAATGATAAGAACCCAACCCCACCTTCGCCATTTCCATTTCAAGGGTCCAGAGAGAGAGCAAGTGTTAAGCTCACTTATTGTATGTTTAGCTGTAAATAAATGAGATGACATAATGTATGTCCGGATTTTCTTCAAAATAGTCCAGAGTCAGGGATGAGAGAGATTAAGTAAGATTCCTATGATTTGATAATTGTTGAAGTTGGGGTGTATACATTTCAAGTTTGTTTTACTATTTCTTTTCTACTTTTGAATATGCTACAAATTTTTCATTAAAAGAGCTCAGGAAAAAATGTAAAACAGTACTAATTCACACATCTTTGCTATTTTTCAGGGAGGCCAATCAGTCACCATATTTGATCAGCATTTTCTACTACTTGGCTTAAGTGTATCTCTAGGTAAAGAGATTTTATTAATTCCAGAAAAACAAAAGCATGAGTGAATGCTTGCAATATTTCCTAACCCTCCTAGAAAATCCCTAGACTCCAGAAGCCCCCCACAATAACACCTCTAATTCAAAGAAATGAGGCCACAGTGAACTCTTCATTACCTGTGTGATCTTGAATCGGTCCTGTTTTGCTGGTCAACACACTCCACTTGAGTTGCACGTGACTGTCATGTTCCCAGTGACAGAACGTCTTGTGAGAACCCCAGCCAAATTCGCAGTTAAAACCATATGTTGGAAATTCTTCAGTGGGTGGAAAGGAAAAATAGAGACAAGCAAAGAAAGACAAATTTAATCATTTAGGTCAGAAAGGTCCTTAATTTGTTCATGGAAAGCATGATTTATATAATTTAATGTCTGCTTGAAAATTCTGGGAAAACCACAAAGTCCAGGATTACCAGGAAACTCAGAAGATGCACAGAGATGTCAAAATGTTTGCGAAATCACATTTAGTAATTTTTCAATCCAGCTTTATGAAAAGATTATGGACTACCTGCCAAGTTGGTTTTATATAAAATTTCCAGGAAGGTTGCTTTTCAAAGTATATATATTACATCTGCAGCATTCTCCCTATTTCTACGATATTTAACATGAAAGATACTCTGTTCTTGAGGATGAATTATATAAATTGATATCCACCAATTACAAAAATCTTAATTAGAAATCGACCCAGGAACCTCGAAAGTCTAGAAACTTGACAGCTGACTGCCTCGTCCTGGCGGTTATCAGTATTCTCCCCACAGCAGCTTATGCTTCAGGCCTTTAGTGTCAGACCTCTGAAGCATTACTTAAGATTATTTTTTCCTTCTGTGCTTTATATCAGGTCAATTAATTTTAAGTGTAGTTTCTGCTTTTTCAGTGAATTTTAAAATTTGCATATAAATTGGTCGCCCCACTTAAACCTCAGTGCGAGGTCATGTAAAACCAAAGCACATTTAAATACCTACCCATTTTTATTGTTTAATATGTTCAAAACGCTTCCTTTGGGATCTGAAAGGAAAGCGTGAATGGATTCTCAGGAATAATTTCTCTTGTATGTTCTACAAGGTGTTACTTGATTATAGTGTTTTTTAAATCTCTATTTTGTTCTTACTCCACCCTCTTTTTGAAAGTAGCTTGAATTTTATGGAATGAAATCATTGATGTTTGGAATTTTTTTTTTGGTAAATTTAAGCTAACAATAAAGAGAGTCCTAAAGATAAGATGCTCATGCTTCTGTCAGTCCCACACCCCCTCTCTTTATAAAATGAAACACAAAAGCTCTCTTTTACTCTAATGAAGGGCAGAGGGGGGGCAGTCATCGTGTCTCATTGAGTTTGGGCAGTCCACAAGATGGCAGCATTGAAACGAAGAGAAAGGTGCCTAAGCCGACTTGCCAATTGAACTTAAAAACATCTCAAAACCATCCCTATGTACAATAAAAGAAGTGTGATATTACATGCTATATTGGGGCACAACATATAGCAGGCTGCGAGCATATCTTGTTTTGATATTTTCTTTAACTTTGCCCAAGTGTTTAATACAAAATATCCTGCTTCCTTCTCTGAGCCTGGCCTCCATTGCCTCTCTCCCATTTTAACAATGGCAAGAAGAATTTTAATGGAAAGATTAAATAGACAAAGATGATTTACTTTGCATTTTTAGTTTCCAAGGAACTCTTTTCAAATGACAATGTAAAACTTTGGAAGGAATGCGATACAAATTGTCCAGACTGAGAAGAATGGGTTCTTCCTTCCAATGACAAAAAAGAGTGCACCCCAAAAAAAGAGTGCACAGGGCCGGTGTGGGAGAGTAAACTGGTAAACTGTGGGGTGTGTATAACGTGAGCGCTTTCAGTTAGTGCCAAAGGGCTGTACGTCACAGCCACGGTGCCACTGGAGAGCTATATTTCATGTTTAATCTCTCATAACCATGAAATAGGACTTCTTAGAGCATGAGAAACCCTTTCCAAAATTTACCACACTTGTGCAGCAAGATCGAATTATGCAGATGAAGTAAAACCAACTGAACAGTGAAGGAATGGTTAAACAACCTTGGACGTCAATGCCCATGACCCAGGAATGTATTGTTGCATAATCTCATGTTAGAAAATGTTAATACTGGAAAATGTTAATGTGTATGTGGCTTTGGGTTTTCTCCTTAAATGTAGTTTATAAGACATGCACATACAGGAGAGCAGTAAGCTATTACAGCGCACACATTTCTGGTTATATTTACCTTGCTAATACATTAAATTTATTGTATAACACAGAAAACCACATCATCTATTATTTTGGCTATTAATAGTCTGGTGACATTGTAATATATATAAATTTGAATATTTTTGTAATCACTGGGACATGAAACAGCTTTGCCTGAAAGGACGGTTTAGGCATTTCTATTGGTGCAGTGAATAGCAGTTCACCTTTACCTTCCAATGTTCTTTCCAGTTCTTTGAGTCTAACAAAGCGAACAGCACTAACTTTTTGTATTTTGCTACTCTTTTATCTTCTTGTCCCAATAATATAGCTTATTTTGGGCAACCTTGCTTATTTAAAATTAATTTCAAAAAGTCTCTGCATTTTGTGGGGGACGGGTATAAAGGAATAGTAGCTCAGTGTTGAAAATCTGAGCCTGGCTAGAAAGGCCATTAAACACACAAAATACATATAAACATTTATAGAAAGGAAAAAACAAACATAAAATAGAGAAGGACAGAAGAAGAGGAGGAAAAAGTTGAGAAAGAGAAAAAAATAAATGGATGAATGAAATGAGTATATAGGGTTATTGACCTTTAAATCTTCAAAATATTACCCAAGCCCTGTAGCTGCACAATTCTTATAAAATTCATTGGGAATAATCTGGCTAAATTCCTTCTTGACTCTTAAAAATAGCAGGAAACAATATTCTGAACTTAAAACAAATTTATAGCTGCTGTGAGCAAGCACCAGCTGTGCTTATTGAACGTATCTTGCCACAGTTGAATCATTAGCACTGTATATGCACAAGGATTTAATTTTTAAATCTGGATTTCAAAACTTCTATTGAGTGTGTTAACTCGTTACTCAGAGACCAGACTTGCAGCACAAACAAATGGAGGTGCTGAGGCCCACGTAATAATAGGTTATGTATATACTCTGAGCTGCTCTAGAAATGTTTGAAGATCCTCAGAGGGTAAGAGGCTTCATCAGGGGGAGCTGGATTTAAAATGCAGAGTTCTCATCGGTTCCTGACAGAGAATTAATAGGCTTTCCTGCATCTGATTACAGCTCAGACAGTATATAAATATTATATGCCCACCGAGTTTATTATATTGGTAAGAATCCTCAAAATAAAAGCTCGAGACCCTGCTTGGGTCTATAATGAACTCAGCAAAATCAGATTATGATGAAGGTTTAGTGGTTTGATTTTCTGCTGCTTGTAAAGATGCCTGAAGAATCTGAAACCTGCAGAACAGTGTGGACCAAAGTATCAGGAAGCAGAAACTGACCACCGGGGGACACCTCAGAGTTAGACTGGCCTCTGATTCACACTCTCAGGCCCTTGTGAAGCATTCTGAACATTGGCTTAGTCAGGAGGTAATAATCAGCAGAACTCCTTAAAGAAGGTCAGACAGTCCATTATCCACAAACAAAGACTTGGAGCCAGATTTGTGACCCAGGCAATGGAAAAACAGGAAACTGGGGTTATTTGTAAAGGACTCTGGGCTGACTCTGGAATTCAAAATCGGATCCTATCAGTGAGCCCTAAGGTTTGGCATGAGCTTGTTCAGATGGTGGTAGCAACGGGGTCTTACTGGTTCATGATTTGTGCATCTGTCCTCTGATTACAGCAGACCCTATGAGATGACCACCTGGCCCTGGAGCTCTTCTGTGAAGCCATCACGTCATTGGCCTTGAGCTCATGCAAAAATCTGTGCTCACCAAGTCATTTCTACTCTGAGTCTACAGGCCATCCACATTCAGGGAGAATAATCCCATTTGGGGATCTGATATATCACTCTATTTTCTCCACAGTTGTTGTTCCCTTTTATTTTTTTTAATGTTCCCAGCTCTTTTGATAGGCAAGAGGAAAGATGAGATGAAACAAGTTAGTTGGCAACTTTCATAGTGGTTTTAAATAATTCTCTGGCAAGAGAGAAAGCTAAAACAATAGTTAAAATGTTTGTTACATTACTGGAACTTCATTTTTTCATCTCACCCCTCTTCCCTATTACAGAGTCATGGAGAGCCAGCTGGTGGTTATTCTACAGAAGACCATCCTGAGGGAGCTGAGAACTCTCGGGAAAGGTAGGAAGCAAGTGAGAGGCGGGGCTTCGCTCAGGAGGGAGCTTCAGCCATCCCAGGTGACTGCATGGTCAGTTACAGCCACGTTTTATAACACGAAAAGACGTGGGCAGGACTACAGTGTTTTGGAGTTTAGGGTAACAGAGTATTCTTCTGTTTCATCGTTCAGTAGTTGGGGTGTTTGAGCTGTGTGATAGCAGGGATTTGTCAACCTGAGCACACTATGGGGAAACTTGGGGTTAAGTCCAACTAAAGAGAAGTTTGTTTTGCAGTTTAATCAGGTCAATGGTGATGGAGTCCTTTAAGGAAGCACGCTAATTAGAGCGGCCCTTTCTACTCTCTGCCTAGCTGGGGAGTGTCATAGTGTTGAGGAAACATTGATATACACCACACGCCCCATTAATAAATGACTGTGGACGCCAAGGCTGAGCAAGCTTCTATAAAGGAAATGGGAGAAGCTGGAAAGCTGACCTGTTCACCTTACTCTAATGATTAACTTTAAAGTATTTAAAACCTCTGATTGCTTATACTGACTCTTTCTCTCCATGTGAGTCTACGGGGAAGAATTTTACAGAATACTAACAAAATACAAGGGAGAGTGAGAAGGAGGCCACCATTTAACTGTGGCTGGCCTTGAGAAACAGCTAACCAAGGGCTTTAAAAGTCATTATGCTTTTCTATTAATACAAGGATGCGGGGGTGCCATTCCCAAGGGTGGTCCTCTTCCCACGCACAGTTATAGCTGTGGCTTCCTGTACCCCACTTCATGGCACACCCACTGGAAACGTTGTTGTGAAACTGCCAGATCTGTGGCAGGCAAAACTGACAAACTTTGCCTGTCTCAGTTTTGCAGAATGATGATGAAAATAAATAGTCAGGCTGGTGCCTGTGAGATTTCCTTCTCCTGTAGTTTGCAAACACAGTACATGTCCTAGATGTGCTGCGTTTAAACAAAGTATGTTACCCTGTTCCTTCCACTGAGAGCTGGGATTGTCACCATTTGGCAATTACTGATGGAGCAGGAAATCTCGCTCTCTGACGCATATACATGTGGAGGGAAGGAAAGCAATATTTATAGCTCGCGCTTGGAGACCAGATGTTGTGTGGCATCTCTCTTCTAGGACTTTGAGGGAACCTGAAACCCAGAAGCGCAGCAATCGGCTATTTTTTGCGGGGAGGACAGGCATATGGGAAATCTACCACATTTTCTATTGTATTTGATACCTGATTGTATTGTGCTGTCTATCATGGTTGGCTTTTCTGTGGTCAGCACAGTGGTACCACCTGAAAAACAAAACAACGACATACAAAAGTGAGAAAGAGGAAGCATTGCAGAGAATATGCTGTAGAGAAATGCTGTCTGCTTATATACATTCGATAGAGGCAAACATTTTCCATAAACAATCCTTCCTTTAATCCCACCTATAGTAATCGTTTTACTTAAAATTTGCTCACCACGGTATCAAGCTCGAATAAACTATTGTTCTTTACCTAACACATTTATTCATAAAGCATCCAGCGGCGTGGAGTGTTTGAGGCTTTGTTCCAAGGTTCCCAGACTAGGCATGGCATGCAATTGCAACAGTGAAAAACAAAAGCCTCCGAATGTCCTCAGTGACTTGGGTATTAAACCTGACCTAGACCTTTAAGCTTCAAATAGTTTCCCAAGGTTTCAGATGTGTGCCTTCAGGGGAGTTGCAAGGCTGGTCTCACCATTTGTTTAAAAAACTGAGGATTTAAAGTGGATGGAAGCAGTTTCGTTTTTTTTCTACAATAGTTGTTTATTTTTCCCCAAGGACAGATATTCTGCCTGGTATGTGGTTTGGAGAAGCTGCAGGAAAAGGAGAAGGGGAAAAAGACTTCTTCACAGTTCCAAGGATCCGGAGATTGCACAAACAACACCCTGAACAATATCAGCTTTTAATCAGTTTGGATCGACTTTGAAATCCTTGGTCAGGGGAACATGTGGAAGCTTAGCCGTTATCCTCTTTTTCTCTGTCTTAACTCTTCCATTTTCTGCTCCTCATCATTACATTTCTATTTTAAAGTAGTGTTTTTAAACTTGCCCAACCACAAGAACCACCTGAACGCTTGCCGAAATTGTGGTTGGCAACCCATTTACCCTCCTCAGATCTTACTGAGAACCAAAATCTCCAGGGGTAAGCCCTCAAAATCTGTATTTTTGAAAGCTTCTCAAGTGAGTCTTATAATCCACTAAGCCTGGGAAACACTGGTTTGCTCTTCACTACTTAGTTGCCCGAGAAAGGTATTTCTCCTTATGTGTCTGCATGGCAGGTCACGGTCAACGATAATCTATTTGCTATTCCAAGAGATAAAGTCCCGGGCAGACTCAGAGTAAGGGCATGGCGGGGCCCTGACTGTCATGGAAAGTTTTAGAGGTGGCTATAAGGTGCCACTGCACATTTTCCAATAGTATCATTCAATAAAGATTTGTGATTATCTCTATTCTGGCCAGGCACTAGTCCTATTCTCCAACTCCCACAGATCAGAAATCATCCGGATCATGAATCAGAATTGTAAAAATGTACTCTTGGAATGGTCTGAGGATTTCTGAGCTAACCGGCTGCAGCACCAAGTCATGTTACCCTTGCTCTCCCAGTGAATACCCTGGCTGAGTGGTCACATGTGTGCGTGGCTTCAATGAGGCAGGCAATATGAAGAAGGTATTATATGTATTATGGGTTAAGAAGGTGAATCTATAATGGCAGAATTGGAGGGAGGCCAGAATACATTAGCGTTCTGTTCCCAGTGGTCTTATAAGAGAAAAACTCAAGGTGAAAATTCACTTTTTAAAACCGATATGCATTATCAGTTTTGTTACAGTTTGGGAGCCAAATTCTGCTGTTGGGTACACACAGATCCAGTGTAAAATTTGGCCTCCTGATGCCTTTGAAGCCAATTGTATTATCTAATGACTTCAAAGGCATTTGCAAATGAGTAACTTCACCTTGGCAAGCAAATATGGGAAAGCAGAACCTCTCCTCATTTCCATGCATTTGGTACATTTCATCTGGAATTCAGTGTTGTTTGTAAGTAATGAGCATTTTGCTACGATACTTATCTCTCTATATATACAAATAGGTCACTCCGAGAGGAGAAATTAAAGCAACAACATCTGCTTTAAGGCACTAAACAAGGCTAAAGAAAGCCTTGATCTCAATTTCCTTGATCCCATGTTTCTACCTATCAGGGTTAAAGTGAGAATGCTTTTAGTTTGGTTACATTGTACTGAACATTCAAAGTTTGCAGCTCTGACAGTAAGGCCTGTGCCAGAGTGAGCAAAGAGGGTGCACAGCTGTGTGCGTGCCTTGGAGGTGATTTGTTCATATGTGAAAAGATACCTGCTTAGGTGAGAGTTTTGCTCCTTGCAAAGATTTAGATGTGAGCACACCCTTTTCCATTAAAGGATAACAAACAGCTTCATAAAGCAAAATTGGCTATAATGCAATAAATGAATAGGAAGCACGAAATGCCTTCTAAAATCCCTTGTCGATGGGACGTGATGTGGGCATTGTGAACACGCTCAGCAGCTCTTAGCATATGCATGTATTGATAGGATCCTTGAGTCAAACGTGCTGGCCTGAGAAAATAAATTTTTTTTATTTTTTTATGGCAATATGTAAAAACAAACCAAAAAAAAATGGGATGAACTTTTTTCTATTTACGCAAGAAATAATTTTAAAAGCTGTAGATAAACCACAACCTTATACTTTTAAAGGATTGCCAGTGTTTCCACTATAAATGACCCATTTTCTGTAGTTTGTAACTCATTGCCTTACACAATTTGCTCCAGGCTAACATACTTGCCCTATTTCATTCAAAGGCTTCAGTTTCAATTGATTCAGTCATGAACTGAGGCAAAAATGAGAAGGTTGGTTGTTCTGATATGAGGAGTAAATCTGAGGCTTTGTTCTAATCAATATTAACTGACCACTTTAGGGTATATAAAGAAAAGAATCCTCTTCACAAGAGGGTAATTGAAAAGGGTATCCAATGATGACTACAGTCATTCCTTTTCATGAGGAATTTCACTACGGATGTATGACAGGGTCTGCAAAAAGCCTGAGGTTTGTGGCAGTGTTTACAGGCAACCTGGGGAAGGTTCCACGGGACCTGGATCATAGAATCGTATTCTGTTTTTAACATCAGCTGTCAGGTTTTCAGCTCGAACTTAACTTCTTAAAGAGAAAATGCCGCTGCATTAATTAGAGTAATTTTTTTGTGGTTTGTGGCTACTTATTACAAGCTTTGTTTCAAAAGCCCATAGCGATGTAACATTTATTGGCTATTCGAATGTAAGTGATTATCCTGGAAATTTGCAGGGAGGCCACCTCAGGAGGTGAGATTTAAATGTGCAGAGTTCTCTCACTCGATCAGAGGAAAGCTTTCGAAGTAATTGGAAATGTACTTTGGGACATTTCCTTCCAGATTTTACACGAACGCATTGGCCAATAACATGGCACTATTATGAAGTTACATGGTAACACCTTCGGTTTCACCCATGGAAGTTAATTATGTGGGATCTCTGAGTCCTTTCTGGGTGAAAATACAGACCTGCATCTAAGGGCTCATGTTTAACCTAAAATGAGAGTCAGATGCTATATGAAACTACATTTTGACCTGGGTAGCAAAGGTCCCACAGTACCTTTTGCAACAATAGGGTGAAAATCCTAGTGCCTTGGCCAGTTTCTAAATGGTGCAATCCCATTCCTCACTTGCCCAACATTTCCTCTGACATTCCAAGTGAAAGAGAAGGTCACTTTCTAGCTTTTAGGGTTTTAGAATATTACAGAGTAATATTCTGAATTAATTAGTGAGGCATTTGGCACACACCGTCCCTGATATATTTGCTAGTCACTGGTAATGTGAAATGACAACTAATTCTGCCTTTGTAAATTTTAATGTAAAGTGGTTTATAAAATTCTAACTTAAAAGTTGCATTTCAAATATAAGCCTAATTTCATCAATTAGTTGGATAAACGTTCCACTGAAAACATTTTTATCCTCATTAAAAAATGAAAATAAACGTTCTAAGGCATGTGGTTATGTGCATGTGTTATGGGGGCGGGTGGTGTGAAGATGAGGATCCGTTAAGGACGATTAGCCATGGAGAAATTCTTATTCAATTAATCCTAGTCTTGGCTCTGAAAATGGCTAAAATCATTGTTTCAAATGGCTGTGGCTATTAGGAACAAGCCGTTTACATGGATGACATGAGGAAATGAAGATGCACATGTTCTGGCAAGGCCACCTCTGTTGCTGGGGCAGTTTTGCCACCACCCTGATGCTCACCTCCCGGAGGAGTTACACAAACACAAACAGGCATTAACTAGCTGGTCTCAATGACAGCATGAACTGAAATGGCACAGCAATGAGATGGAAGATGGTTTCTGCACCTGTGAGCTGGAAGTCATCACCTGTTCCGCTGTGGCAGTTGGCCTGGTCATCGTCACACTCATCCACTAGGTTCCCATTGGGAGTGGTCGGTCCAGCTGTAGGTGCTGGAACAAGATCCAAGGATTATTATCTCACACCTCTGAAGTGTATTCTCAAGCCTCTGGCTGTTGAATCTGCTAATATTTTTGCAGGAAACTCTAATCTGTGACAAGAAGGCCAGGAGCATGGTTTACCTCTCTTTCGAGAGCTAAATAGGCTTGGATTTTGCAGAATCTATTGGAGACAGCTTTATTTTGGTATTTGGTCCATATCTGCTGAATAGAGTTGGCTGCCTTAGCATTTTTTTACATTGTTATCTACATAAACTTCCTTTTTCTGAAAAGTTCTTGAATTTTCACTGGTTATTTATTCATGAACCTGAAGTTAGATAATAGAGATATTGCTTGATAATAGAGATATTGGTTTTCCTTTCATTTTAAGGTGCTAGAGAACTCGCTTGCCATGAATTCTTTTATATTCTTAGAACTTACTAAATTTGCTAAGTTCATATTATAATTTTTCCCCAAAAGAGAGTCCCAATATTCACCATTCACTTTTAGTATGATATTGTTTTGTTTTGTTTTGTTTTTAGGAGTGACTCCATTTCCATCAACCTCTGATCTCTGCCCAGAGCAGGTGTCTGAGAGGACTTGCTTAGATATCCTGTACTTTAGCTTACTGTATTCTAACTCCCAGTGGACAACATTCCACTGCTGGCAGGTATTCCCATATCTTTAAGTTTGTAGATGAAAGGTATCCAACATTAATCAAAGACTGCTTTTGAAGTTCTTTAAATTTAGTTTGGTCTTTTTTTTCCCAGCCTGTTACTCATTTTTGCAATCTGTTTAATATTTTACAGTTTTCGGTATTACATTTCACTTTATGAGACTGGAGATAATGTACAGTTCTCTTGATGTTTGAGAAGCAGACAAGGTGCTGGGAGCAGAATCTCATTCTCTAAGAGGTTCTGGCCGGTAGGAATGTGCTGGTAACTGCTGCTTTCTCAATAAAAACTTGACATTTTTTGTTATTGTGCTTAAGTACCGAGCAAAGTTATGACAAATGTGGAAATGTAGCTAGTTTCAACTTTCTCAACTCTCCAAAAGCACACAGCAATAATAACTAGGAAATTAGCACATACAGATATTGCACACACCATTTAGACATACAGTCTACACTTCGTAAAATGCATACACAAATATTCCTGCTCTACTTATTGCTCTCACTGAATTAATAGAATCCTTTCTGTCAATCCAGATGCTAGTTTTCACTAAGCTGCCCTTTCTCTTGATACTGTGCCACTTTTAAGTATTTTAAACTGTCTCTTCATCTTGCTGGTTTTTTTTGCATTCCTTATGGTTTTTACAAAGGACGGGTTCCATGTTGGAAGTGGCCCAGGGTGGTACTAAGATTAAATTGAAAATAGTAGACAGTGAATGTTTTTTATGCCTAATTTTAATACTTGAAAATATTTTATTTTTTGTGGTTCTCTAATTGTTTCTTAAATATAATGCTAGCCCAAAACAGGGTGGACGATAAGGGTCGGCTGGGCTGTACCATATTCCTTTCTGCATCCCTCTAGGTATCTTCTGAAGAACAAGGCACAAAGTAGATATTTAGTAAGGCCTGTTAATCAAGCTAAGGACAAAGGAAAGCACTTCTTTTTACCAATCACGTTAAAAGCTTTGACATTACTTTCCCGGATGTTGGTTTCTCACATGGCTGTGGGCAACTTCCTCGCTTCTGTGAGAGCTTAGAAACATCTGTAGCAAATCCCTTCACCAACAATTTCTACCACACTACAGAGTTGACACTGGCAAACAGCCACAAATCTCAGTCTTTTCAAGCGTCCATTAATTCCACCTCCTAAATCAGTGTTGCTTCCCAGAAACCAGGCTAAAGACCTGCCTTATAGCAGCACACTCCTTTTTCCAGATGACCACATTTCTCAGTAAATTGAACGAACGTGTCTGCAGTTGGCTCAATCATCCCTTCTTTTTCTTGGCATCTTTGCCAAGGCCCTGGCACATGGGCATTCTTGGTCTGTGTTGATAGTGCCTGGGTAATTCAGAGGTCTGAGACATGACTACAGATATAGAAACAGCTACACAATAAAGAATGGGAGATAATGGCCTGCTTTTAAATAAACACATAGAAAAGTAGCTATGAATTATTCACTAGTATAGTGATTCATAGTTTAACATTACTTAGTGCATAAGAAAAGTTTTACATTTAATGTGCTCAGGAATGTAATTACAATTGAGTAGCTGAAAATACACATAATTTTGAAACCACAAGAAGGTGATATTAAAAAAGCATTCTTCAAAACAATTATGAGCATATGCTCAATTGATTAACATCTGGGTACCAACAATAGCCACTCTTTGAGCTAACCTGGAGAAAGACCTTTATGAGGATGGAAAAATTGGTAGAGGTTACTCATTTTTGCCCAAATCTAAGGCAGATGGGAATTCTAATGCACAAACGCATGAAATGGAACAATAAGCAACCATCATTTTTTTTTTCCAAACATTCATGTTATTTATTATGTGATAAAAAAAAGCTGAGGAGAGAATGGTTTTGAGATCAGTGTGGGAACTGAATTTGTCCTTGATATGACCTTCATATGATAACCTAAGTTCATGAAGTAACATCCTTAAACAGACCTCTGTTCATTCACATATGTTATTTTATGTAAAGTTTTATGTCTGCAGCAGCCTAAGAAATTCATCCAGGAGAATGTCTTGATGTTTCAGTCTGTCAAATACTGCTTCCTGCTGGTATCTGAATGGTAGTCAACATCACCTACAGAAATCTGGATCAGACATAGACTTCCCAACAACACTAAAAAAGTCAAAGGAATAGGTGGTTGCTGGGGGCTAGGGGAGGGGGAAGTAGGTGGGAAACTGCTTAATGGGTAAGGGGTTTTACTTTGGAGTGATGGAAATGTTTTGGAACTAGATCGAGGTAGTGGTGGTGTAAATAATTATGCATGTACTAAACACCACTGAACTGTTTAAAATGGTGGATTTTATGTCATGTGATTTCACTTCAAAAAATTATTATTTTTTAAATCGATAGAGACAACCCCACAGAATCTGAAGACAGTTATGCAAACAACCAAGACAAAAGTAGAATTCTAAACGTGCTGTTTTGCAGATTAAAATGTTCTAGAATATGCTAGAATGTTGAGCCTAATAGACTGGCAGGCAGAGAGAGATGCAGAATTACCTAGGGGAAAAGGTAGCAGTTTGTGACAGTACCATTAGGGGCATAAATACATGAAAAGGAAACAAACAAAGAAACAAAAACTAGAAGTCACTCTGGAAATTGTAATTACCTTCCACTTCACAGCCCAGTAGCTCCATTCTTAGTCCTAGGCCACCATGAGTGGCTCTCTCAGGGTAGATCCTGATGAATCGTGTGGGAAGAGGTGGAAAAGTTCGTAGCTCAGGTGTATCATAGTTGCTGTTGCCTTCAAAAGACTGTGAAGTATGAAAAACACCAGTTATTAATAAAACCTCTCTTTTGGCAGAAGAGCCTCTCCTCGGGATTCTTATAGGGCAGGGGCATAGGGCTCATTCTACCACTTTGTAAGTGGCGGACATTGTTTTCATAAATGAGAAAGGAAAAAAAAAACAATTAAACCTTCTCTAAGAAGTGACAGATGTCACTTCTCAGAAACTAGAGTACACGCTGAAGCTATACCTGAAGCTTTAATGAGACACATTTTTAAATGATATGCTGGGAGAATTGTGCCTAGGAGAGGTGACACTTTTACCACTTCCTTGAGGTGGAAGATGGTAACTCAGGAAGAGAACTTGCCATTTTTCAGAGCTTATAATAGACATCGCATTTTCAATAACTATCCCTGACACATTTTCTTAAATGAGCAGATATTCTAGGAGAGAGACAAATTAAATTCCTGAAGGAAGAGATAGTAAATTTAATGTAGTGCAAATGCTGTTTATTCAAGAACTTCAGTACGCCAACCACTTGAAATTGCTGTTTGCTTAAGCAGTTCCACCAGTCGGAGGCCACCAGTTGGAGGCATTTGTAGATAAAAGACCTTCTCATCTCAGGAAGGGATCAAGAGTCCTGACTGTTAAGTGATGTTCTGATGCCTCGTTGAATTGCATCTCTTTGTCAAGTGCATTCCTAACTTGAAGTCACCATGACATTTTTTTAGGAGATAGGCTACCCAGTGCTGGAGCTGCTCTTCAATTATTTTATTGCCCTTTTTACATTGACTGGAAAGTCAACATCCTTTAGAGGAATCATAAGAAAATGGGAGTATGACTAGACTTGCTTTCTTTTTCAAGAAATGAGTAACCTTCCTATATCCTCTTTTCCCAACACCATTCTTAATCCTGTCCGAACAGAAGGGGAAGAAGATTAGAAAACTCATATTGCTTTATCTCTGGATGTGCCCTTTTTATATATAAAACATCCTGTGATATTTACTGGTGAAAGGTATTGTTCTAAGTGCTTAATATATATTAATTCATTTAATCCTCAAGACAGCTCCATGATATAGGTTCTATTATTACCCTCATTTTACAGAAGAGGCCTTGAGAGGTCAAGCAATTGGCCCACGGTTATATGTAAGGCAAGTGGCAGAGCCAGGATTCAAACTTAGGCAGTCTGACTGGTTTCCTTCACTACTACACTGCTACAATGCCTCTGCCCTTAGAAATAATCTAGTCTAACCTCCTCATTTTAACACATGAAAACGCTGAGGTCCAGAAGATAAGGTCTTTGCCCAAGGCCGCACATTTAGTTTCATTAATTTTTCTTTAAATGTATTGCAGTTTGGGCTACCAAAACTGGTGGATCAAACTGAGTGGATGGCTAGCCCCAGGCCATGTCAGTCAAGAGTGGGAACCACGCCCAATAGTTGGGTCATAAAGCAGCTAAAGAAGCGATCATCCCGTGGTGGCAATATCATGGCAAAATGGCACACATGTAAGAGAAGACAGATTGGGTAGGTTGTGACGTGTCTAGGGTTTTCCAAGTTCTAGAAGTAAATTAATTGGTCTTTTCCAACTCAGAAAAGCTTCCAGGAATCTCAAAGTACATGGCTAACGTAGACCTGCTTCTTCCAATTAAGGTTTCCTTCTATTATTTTCAAAAGTAAATTCCCTTTTGAGCAGGGTTCTGTACTCTTGATAGAACTGCAGTTGCTGCCAGTAATTGAGAATCTGACATATATTATTGTTAAGCCCAATTAAATGTTGTCAGTAAGATACTAATTATGGTGAAAATAGCATTACTACACATGCAGCTTCTGTCTACATTAACATAGCTCCAACAATCACAGGAGAAAAGCACTCATATCTACGGAATCTCACGTTCTACTGCTAATTTTAACCTGAGCAAAGAATTAGCACAATGTAAATACATTATAAAAGCTGTCAGCGATGAGCTGGGAAGAATATTAGCAATGAAGGACCATATGGAACTAGGCTACCTTTGCTAGCATATGATTGTTTATGAAACATCTGTGTCCTTTTACTACTCTTGTTTTAGAAGATGAGGGCCTTGAGTATTTAGATCTATCTGCTCCTGAAAAGTCTAGTTAATTCAAAGACTCTGATATACCTTGTCCGTCATGCACTATTTGAGGGGAAGCAGTGAGGAGAGGGTATAGAGGGTTTTAAATCCATCAAAGTGCTGTTTTATTTCACAAAACAGTACTCCTTTTACTGTTACATCCTAAGCAGGTAACATTCATTTGCAAGTTTAAATATACTATGTTTTAAATATCTTTATACAATTTAGAAATATGTACTGCTCCTAAACTGAAGGTTTTACCAGTTTCCTTGTTCATCTTTAAGATTTTATTCCTGGGAAAGGGCATTTAGGGATCACAGATTAGGCTCTGTGTAAACAGCTTAGAATTTTTCAGGGTTTTAAATATAAGAAGATGATAATGATTGATAGAATCATATTTTAGGAATAAAATTGAACACATTTAACCAATCGTGCATGGAGTTGTTCTGTTAAAATTGAAAACTGTGTGTTGGCATCTTGTGGAATTCTATACGTTATGTATTACAATAGAGCGAAAGATAGCTTTAGACTTGATTACAGATGGTGGATTGCATAACAAAGGGAAGCATATGATGCATCCTATCCAGAGCATATGGTAATCTGTTTTCTGTCTCTCTTAGAACCCTAGTGTTGAAGAACATGTCACAACAGCACACCCTGCCATGCGACAGCAGCTCCAGGAAGTTGTTGATTTGCAGCATATTCACACGTTGTGCTAGAGGCACAGGCTTACTACCCCTCAGAGAAGACTGGCTCTTAGGGAGAACTCCAGTTTCTGATGTTTATTTTACTTTTTCTTTCATCAAAACAAGAGGGGGCAGACATAAAAGGGAAAATGAAATGGACACAAGAAAGAAAGTAGCTGCACACAGATGATAAAAACACTGGAAATATCTTAGAAACCACAAGTTAACAAGGGGTGAAATGAGAGAGGGATTTTTACGTTTCTGACAGCATCATCCCTGTTGGTGGCTGACCAGCAGCCAGTGGGGGACAGGGCAGTCTCTGCAGAGCCCCACATCTGGACAGAGTAGGAGCTGGCTGCACTGCCCAGCATTTGTTTTCTGCCTGCAATGCCTTTGCCTGAGTCACTATATTAAGCCACATTCCTACACTTGCTCAGAGTAGGAGCAAGGCTAACACTCCCTCCAATTAACTAGAATCTTCTTTTCATAAAAGGAGTAGGTCCTGGGCTAAGTGGGGATGGGAAGGCTGGGACCAAAAGACCAGTTGTGTTGGGTATGAGAAGTATCTTCAGCCGAATGCAATTCCCATAGTTCATACAAACTGAACGTCTGTGGGTTGTTACTTATTTTAATCTCAAACTAGCTTCCTGGCCACCCATTCTTTCCCAGTTGGCATTGTGTACTCAGGAAATACAAATAAATCTAACAATCGGCTCAAGTAAAACGTAATCACTAAAGAATATCTGTTTCGTTAAAAAATATTATACCGTGTGTTCTGGTGAATGTTGGGATATTTTTATATTGAGATTCTTTTCTCTTTTCACTGAATCATCGAGAGCCAACTGCATTTTGAAAGGTTCCAATGCAGAAAAAATATACTTAACCATCACTTACAATAGCTAAAAGTAGAAGCAACTCAAGTGTCCATTAATGAATGAACTGATAAACAAAATGTGAAATATTATTCAGCCTTCAAAAAGAAGGAAATTCTGACACAGACTACAACATGGATGAACCTTGAAGACATTATGCTAAGTGAAATAAGCCAGTCACAAAAGGACATATATTGTATGATTCCACTTATATGAGGCACCTAGAGTAGTCAAATTCATAGAGATAGAAAGTAGAATAGTGGTTGCCAGGGGCCAGGGGAGAGGGAAAATGGGAGTTATTGCTTAATGAGTACAGATTTTCAGTTTTGAAAAATAAGGAAGTTCTGGAGCTTAGTTGCACAACAATATAAATATGCTTAACATTGCTGAACTGAACATCTGAAATGGTTAAGATGGTAAATATTATGTTATGTGTATATCATCACAATTAAAAGTTTAAAATGATATACTTTAGAGGGATGGGTGACAGACAGGAAAGGGGAAAGGCTAACTGATGGGTTAGAATATGCAGAGAGATTTTTGAGTTCCTACTGGATTGTTGCTGTCAATCCCCTGATCCCCTGATCCCTAAGTAAGAGAGAAAAAGGTAACCAGCAACGCAGTTCTTTCCCATGTTAATCTCAGATATCACTTTCTGTACCTCAAACCTGTCTGCCCTAGAATTGGGGATCTTACTAACACCTCCACACCCCTCCACTGGTCTCACTGTTGAAAAGAAATAAATCTCGCTTCCTCGGGAGAACACTGGGGGTATTTGATTTAAGTCAAGGACTTGGGGAAGGATTTCCTCCGGAAGCTGCTCTCTGCTCCTGGACCTCACCTTAGCCTTGCGCTTGCTGTCATCCATGATCATTTTCCAGTCCGAGCCATTGTTGCTATACCCGATCTTGAATTTCCTCATGGACACCTTATTCTCCCGGTGTTTCCCACCCTGGATGATGATGCCCCTCACAATCTTCTCCTCTCCCAGGTCCACTTGGAGCCACTCATTTATGTATGACTGAGGTCCGGGCGGCAGTACCCAGCCAGAGCGACTGGTCACGAGGCGGATGTTTTCAGGCATCCAGCTCCTCTCCCCTTGGTTTGACGCTGTAATCTGGGAGTCAGAAATAAGTCCAGATACCATGCCCAACATTCCGGAGCAAGGGTAATCTAAAGGGTGGAACAAAATAAATAATGTAAAATGATTTTCTAGAGGTCTCCATGCTTAGAGAGAGAATACAACATATTGAACAAAAAGAGCATCTGTACCCATGCGTACAAATGTTTAAATTTCTTCATCATTTGACATTAAACTGGAGTCTTCCACCCTCAAACCTTTCTCCCACTCTTTTAGAACCCCTCTCCCTACATTACATTCTAATAAATAAAATCTTCAATAAGAACATACATTTCCCCCTTTTTGAGTTTTTCCAAGGCAATGAACAACATCATAGATCTTTTTATATCTTCTACAGCAGCCCGAGTAGCTTCTGAGAGTAAGGAGAGTATCAATCATTGATTAATTGATTAGTAGCTTAAAAACAAAATGTTCAACACTTGAATTGTTCTCCTTTCAAAATTGTACATTTCAATCAAGGACATGCACACGAAGTAATAATAACCTATTTTTTTTCTTTGAAAAAACTCAATTTTGCCTAATATAATAAAAAATTAGCCTAAAAATATAACCATCTTAAGAGGCAGGTATCTAATACAATTAAGCTATGTCTATCTTATCAGCCGAATTTTAAGAATTAATGACGGATACTTTCCACATGAACTGACATACAGTTCACATCATGTCATTCCTTTATTCAAATAGTCAGTGCCTGCTCATTAGGAGTTATGCATGTACTTTCAGCTGAGCATGCCAGACCTTCCACAGAGGCAACTGGAATGAAGAACCTCCTCCTCTGGAAAGGGAAGTGGGGGCGGGGGGCTTTCTCTCATTCTGTTCCCTCCACTAGGAATTCCCCACCATCTTGTCCTTCCCACTATCTGCACCACTTAAAGTCTTGACTCGTTTTCAAATGCTACGCCACTTATTCAGTTTTCCTGATCTCTCCAACTAGCCGTGGCTTTCCTTTTCTGGAGGTCTTCATAGTACTTAGTTTGCATTTCTCATATACTGATGATCATATTCCGTTCCTTGGATTACTGCTATTTGCCTCCTCACAGTTTAAGTTCTCTGAGGGCATGAACCAGGGCATATTTAAAAATTTTCTATGACTCCTTGTATTTGCTGAACAAATATTTGTTGAATGAATCAACTTATTAACACATTAAAAGGCAGCTGCCTATTTCCCAAGCACCTCTTCCTGTAATTCAGCCACAGTATTTGCTCCAGGCTGGGATCTGGAAACCAAGAATGAATTCAATAGGGATTAAAAAAAGATTTACAAAATCTATTTTACTGGGGGACTATGAAATTATGGTGTTAAAAATAGAAATCACATTTTTGGTCACTGCGGTCACACCTGCCTGATTCAAAATTGGCTTTTTTATAAAGAAAATGTTTAGCTGGTAATGAGGACCAGATGTTACCATTTGGAGAAAAACACAATTAACTTAAATATTGTAAGGAGAGCAGAACTTTTACCAGATTAATGTCCTTTCTCTAATGCAGAGCTGGCTCAGGCGCAGTTTACAATCTACAAACGTAGCACTGCCCAACCCCCATTCAGCCAACGGGTCCATGGAGCACAGTTAGACTGTCATTCCTTCTGTATGTCTGCTTCATCCAAAAAGAACAATAAAGAGGAAACTTGATCTGCCTTTGACTGAAAACTATGTAATTCTTTTAGCAATGATTAGGAGAAAACATGTTAATAATTCAAGGTTTGAATAAGATGCTAGGATTTAACTTTGTTCTTCCATAGTAGGCTGGCTCAGATATGCTTTAGTCTGGCTAGATGTCAAATCCTTTGGAAATAGTGTTGCCAGATTTAGCAAACAAACAATCAGACAAAAACAACAAAACAAGAAACAGGATGCCAAACTAAATTAGAATTTCAGACAAACAAGAAATATATATTTTTTTTTGTATAAGTATGTCCCAAATATTGCATGGGATAAAACATTATTTGTCATTTATCTGCATGACATTTAACTGGCAACCCTGTATTTTATTTTATTTTTTTTAGCAACCTTGTTTGCTAAGCTTAAAACCAATTCTGGATGGGAAGGAGAGATGAGTTCTGTGATGGGGGATTGAGATGGTTATTTTCACTGATACTATTTTACAATAAAGTCTCTGTATTTAGTTTTAATGGGAAAACTGAGATATACTGATAAATCAAATATCATTTAACCAGTTTCAAAGAATGAGAAGGTAATAACTGCATTTGATGGGAGAACCGGAATAAGCATAATTCAATATTCCTTTAATGACTCAGAAAGTATCTTTAGATGGTGTGGTGCCTGAGATCATCACTGAGAACCTTTAATTAACATAGAAACACACTAACGTGTGCAGAAGCATCGGTAATACACTTCTGGTTAACAAATACAAGTTTGTAGTGTGTTTTCATAAGCAGTAAACTTCCAAGATTAATTTCACAAATTTCCATCTTTGCCAAAATGATGGAAGTATGCTTTGTTAGAATAATAAAAGTGTTCCTTTGTCAATCACCTATAAAGCAAAATGGCTTGCTACAATCTTGTTTATATCTCTATATGGTGACACATTGTCGTATACTCTAGATTTTCCAGGATTACTAGTTTTAAAAAATACTGAGTACAAAAATTACATTAAAACTTGGGACTCTAGTCAAGTGATGTAGTCATGTGGTAGCTTTTAATTCAATAGTTTTTAAAATCCAGAATGAATTTAAACTTGCCTACTCAAGAGAAGAGGGTCAAATTTTGAGATCCATCATGTTTCTCAGAAGGCACGAATAAAACTGCATCCATTCATTCAAAAGTAAGTGCACTGAGCACTTAACTATGCTCTGGACATGCAGGACACAATAGAAAATCAGGCACATATGGCCCCTGCTGTCATGGGTCTTCTAGTCCAGCGGGAACACTTGTTCTTCTTTGATCAGTCTCCACTACAAGGCGATCATGGCCTCTAAAAGAAAGTTGTCTGCTTCTGAGACCAAGAAGCAAACACTGTTATTGTCTCACTATAGTTTCTACTGGCTGGGGCATATTCTAGGTTCAATTTATTGAGCATCACGTACTAGGTACCATTTAGTGAGCACTTACTCTAAACCAGATGTGTTACAAACATTCTTTCATTGAATCCTAATTATAGCTGAATTAAGGTTAATTTTACTGACTATGAAATGAAGATCAGAGGGACTAAATGTCTTACCCGTGGTCACACATTCACTAATTGAACAGTCTAGAGCCACACCTGGACTGTCTGTGGACCTTCTGTCCAGTGACCATGATTACAACATGCTGGCCTCTCCAAAAACATGTCTCGATCAGTTATTTGGAGATTATAACTGTCTTATTGGAGAGAAAGTAACTAAAATTAATTAGTGGTCACGATTAACAAGCTAGCCCTAGGAGCCTAAAAGCAGCATCTTATTTGAAAAAAAAAAAAGGCTACTTAAAATAGTTGTAAAATAGAATACATGTGAAAATATGTTATTTTAGACATCTATGTTTAAATAGGTCATTTAACTATTTTTAAAAATCCAAAAATTATTTGCTTTTTCTTACATGTGAAGACTTACACTATAAGAATTTACTCTCAGAGAAATCCTTGTGAAAATGAAAATAGAGCATTTCAGATTTAAGGATTTTATTTAACTAAAAGAAGAGCCTGGACATTTAGAGTTCAGACAAATACATTTGGAGTCTTTATGAAGTTTATTCTGGCTTGATCTCGAATGGTCTTATTTCTACAAATTTATGAATAGCCTCTCAAATCTGTAATGCTTAGAAAACGACCTAGAAGTTTTTCCCATGTAACTACTGATCAAAAATAAAGCCAAGCTTATAACTCATTTTTCAATGTCCTCCTCCAAATATCTTCCACCCAAATCCTGCTTCCAGGGCTTGAATTCTAGACTTAGATCCTAAAACAATAAACACATCTTTTTCTAAAATGGAAATAAATAAAATTTTGGTAAGACATCCAGATGTCAATTTTTACTTTCTAAATTAACTTTACTGTAAACAATGTAGTTCTTTATTTTTCTCTCAGTTTGCTCTCCAAATTGCTTATAATTTCATGGAAAATTGCCCAGGTGTTTTTTGTTGTTGTTTTGTTTGCTTTTTTTTCTTCAAAAGTCAGCATTTTCTTTCTAAAAATAATTATACTAAAGAGGATAAAAATAAAAACAATAGAATTGGTGTTCATGGAGTGAGAAATTAAATGCCCTAAATAGGTATACTAAAATAATATTAAAAGATAGTTCACAGACTTTTAAAAGTTGTTTACTATTAATTACTTTTTGGTGAATCAGTTACTGATTCTGTTTTTGACCTTTTAAACTTATTCTAAAGGTTATGCAGCACTGTTGTTGTTGTTGTTTTTTTAAATAAAGATATTGCAAGGTATTTAAATGAAAAGGAATGCTACTGTGACTGCTATTTACTCCAGAATACAGAGTGCAGTACAGGAAGATAAATGAAATGGACAATTAACAGAAGTACTGATCATCATAGAAATATAGTGCAAATAACAGTCAGACCCATTCTTTTGCTTCCAGCTCTTCCCTGACCTAACGACTTCTTTACCTACGTAGTCTCCCAGTACTGCACCTTCTTCATCAGTGGAAATTGTGGCTTAATGAGACAGAGGGATGTGGGAGTCTCAGATGTTCCTCTTAAAAGGCCTGCACACATGGACTTACTCACCGATGGGCTCACTTGCTCTGTGCTCCAGCACTGGGGCAGCTGTTCAAAAAGCACCAGGGATGTAAGGAAAGGAACTGTGTTGTCTGGCTTCAGGGCGAGGGCTGGAGGGGCAGCTTTCTCCCAGACAGAAGTGCTGGCAGAATCCATTGTTCCTTTGTTGAGCCCTCCCCACTCCCAGGGTATTACACAGGTGAGCACCATATCTGAGTCATTATCAATCTAGCTAACAATGGTTGCCCTGCCCTGGTGATTCTCTGAGACCACCACTCCCCCCTCCACCCTACCTTCAACTTGCAGGCTCACCCAAGCTGCTTCTGGAGGCTTTCCCATACAAATGGCCTGTCTTGGCTCATGCTGTGGACTTTCCTAAAATCTCTCAAAGGTTCATAAAACCCAAACAGGTAGCATTTGGCCTCACTGTGCCCTGTACCTCTCACTGAGCAGCCCCAAGCCTGGGACTAGTGGCAGCTGGCCTCTGTTTGTGACCCGGCCTCTCTAGGCACCTCTAAGCCCAGAGCAGGTGGCAGATTGCTTGGTAGCTCATGCCAGGTGGCCCTGGCCAGGGCATAGGCTGCCTTTGAACTTGACCTGTGGCAGGGCCCCTTCTAGGAGGCTCCAGGACCGGCATGTCCAGTGGCTGGCTGCAGACCGAGTTGGAGCACCATCTGGGGCTGCATCTGAGGACAATGCATGAAAAGGGCACCAGAGTCCCGCTAAAACATATCTTGTTCTGTAGGGTCAGCTCCTCACTGGCCAGTCTTCACAACCAATCAGCCCAAGGGTCGATCCCTTCCCATTGACGTGCAAACAACGAGCAAGGCTCAACTACAACAGGAGGGCACACACAACCCAAATAAGGAACATACCTGGAGCACCCAGCTCAGGTGACCAGAGAAGATTGTGCCACTGGGCCCCATAGCACACCTATCACGTAAGGCTGCTCTATTAAGACCAGGAGACAGAGCAGCCCTGCCCAATACATAGAAACAAACACATGGAGGCAGCCAAAATGGGAAGACAAAAAAACATGTCCCAAATGAAAGAATAAAGCTCCAGGAAAAGAATTAAATAAAATGGAGACAAACAATCTACCAGAGACAGAGTTCAAAACACTGGTTATAAGGATGCTCAATGAGCTTAGGGGAAGAGTAGATGAACTCAGTGAGAAATTTAACAAAGAGCTAGAAAACATAAAAATGGAGATAGAAAATATAAAGAAGAACCAGTCAGAAATGAAGAATGCGATAACTGAAATGATGACTATATTTCTTTGGCATCAACGGTAGATTAAATGAAGCAGAGAATCAAGTCAGCAATTTAGAAGCTAAAGTAGCAGAAAATACCCAAACAGAATAACAATAAGAAAAAAGAATCACCCCCACCCCCCAAAAAAGAGGATAGTTTAAGGGGCCTCTGGGACAAGATCAAGGGTACCAACATTCATATCATAGGAGTACCAGAAGGCCAAGAGAGAGAGTAAGGGATTGAGAGCCTATTTGAAAAAATAATGACAAAAAACTTCCCCAGGAAGCACAGAGAGTCCCAAACAAGATGAACCCAAAGAGGCCCACACAAAGACACTTCATAATTAAATTAAAATGCCAAAGTTTAAAGACAAAGAGAGAATCTTAAAAGCAGAAAGAGAGAAGCAATTAGTTACCTACAAGGGAGCTCCATAAGACTGTCAGCTGATTTCTCAACAGAAACTTTGCAGGCCAGAAGGGATTGACATGAAATATTCAAAGTGATGAAAAGAAAGGACCTACAACCAAGATTACTCTACCAAGCAAACAGAATTGAAGGACTGATAAAGAGCTTCTCAGACAAGAAAAAGCCAAAAGAGTTCATCACCAACAGTATTGTAAGAAATGTTACAGGGACTTCTTGAAGAAGAAGAGGAGGAGGAGGAGGAGGAAGAGGAGGAGGAGGAGGAGAAGAAAGATCAAGAATAATAAAATGGCAATAACTACATATCTAGCAATTACTTTATATGTAAAAGAATTGAATACTCCAATCAAAAGACACAGGGTGGCTGAATGGATAAAAAACCAAGCCCCTTACATATGCTACCTAGAGACTCACTTCAGATCTAAAGACACACACAGACTGAAAATAAAGAAATGGAAAGATGTATTTCATGAAAATGGGGGAAGAAAAGCTTGGGTAGCAATACTTATAGCTATAGATAAAATAGATTTTAAAACAGGCTGTAACAAGAAACAAAGAAGGACTCAGTAATCACACTTCTGAGTATTTAACCAAAGAAACCCAAAACTCTACTTCAAAGGGACATGTGAATCCATATGTTCAATGCAGCATTATTTACAATAGCCAAGATATGGAGGCAACCTGGGTGTCCATCAACAGATGAATGGATAAAGAAGAAGTGGTACATATATACAATGGAATATTGTTCAGCCATAAAAAAGAATAAAATATTACCAACATGCATGTAGCAACACGCATGGACCTAGAGGCTATTGTGCTGAGTGAAGTAAGTCAGACAGAGAAAGACAAATACCATATGAGTTCACTTACAAGTGAAATCTAAAGAACGAAATAAACGAACAAACAGAAACAAATTCAAAGATTCAGAGAACATTTTGATGGTTGCCAGATGGGAATTGGTGAAAAAAAGGAAAGGATTAAAAAGTACAAAATGGTAGTTACAAAATAGTTATGAGGATGTAAAGTATAGCATAAGGAATATAGTTAATAATATAGTAATAACTATGTATGATGTCAGATGGGTACCAGATTTATTGAGGTGATCACTTTGTAAGTTATATAAATGTCTAATCAGCATGTTGTACACCTGAAACTAATATAATATTGCATGTTAACTGTATTTTAAAAATAAAAAAATTTAAAAAATGATAAAGCAGATGGAGAACATTCCACACGCCGTGTTACTGTAAATCTACTAAGTACCCATCAGTGTGCCCAGAACCCAGGAGACAGGGACAAAAGGCACGGCACTTGTCTTCGTAGAGCTTACAGTCTTGTGGGAAGGCACCACTTCACAAATGTCTACCACATGCCAGCCTGTGCTAAGTACTTTATATCTATGAGCTTATCCTTTATGACAACAGCCCTGAGCGGTGTACACGATTATGACTGTTTTCAGGTGAGATAATTAAAGCTTTGAGAGGTAGTAAATTGCCCATATAAGATTGTGAGTACTACAAGTAGAATTTAACTCACATTTGTCTAAATTCAAAGCATATGCTTTTGACTACCAAATGAAAATGACCACATTTATACAAAATGACTCTCCCTATATTTAAAAGTTTATATAAATCAAAACTAGGCAATCTTCTAGCTGGAGCTTACCTGTTATCTTGCAGCCATACACTTCAAACCTCAAAGATATGCCAGTTTCCCACGTCACAGGTTTGATTCGGACAAATCGAGTTATCAGTGGTTTGGGGAAAATTCCAAACACAACATCTGTGGGGTTGGTGTTTCCCTGAAAGATCTATATAAAACAAAGAAGAGCTTTTTAACAACAGACGTTTGGGATTGAAAACAAACCTCAAAAAATGTTTTCACAGATACATGTGAAAATTATTTATAATTTCAGCATTGACTATCCACGTTGATGTGGTGTTAATAACTTGTCATGTTGTTTTCCAAATGACGGCAATCAGAAAGAATCATCTCTAAGACAGAATGTTGTCCTAATCGATTCAATTTTCAGAGACGATAGAGCCTCCCAAAGCAGTTACAATGATAACATTTGTTAAAGAATATATGCTATTATCTAAAAGAGTAAGAATTATTAACTTTATCATAAGAACCTACAGATAGCTATAGACATTTCATGGGAACTTTCACTATTTTACTTTTCCAGGAAGCCCCCGAAGGCATGCTTTTTGAGTTCAGTTCAAGGTCTGGCTTTTTGAAAATTCTAGGTTATGTTCCCAGCTATAGCACTAGGTCAAGTAGCTTTTTCCCTTTTGACTCTATTTCTTGATGAAAGATCTTTTCCTTAACATTAATTAATGACATTAGTCTTTTTTAGTTATTGGTAAAATTATGTTTTACTGGTTAAAATGAAAACTGAGCAATAAATGATATGTAACTGGGAATGAGCTTTTTCCAGTGCTTCTGCTTCTAGTTTTAAAAATGAGTCATTTCTTTTTTTCTAAGAAAGATGAGGCAATGTAACTGCAAGGGTAATGAACGCCAGTCACGAACCAGTCGCCCACAAGTGGGCCGTGTTCTCTAGCAAGATCTCCGAGGAGTGGAGACTGTGTCACTGTGGAACACTCTGGTGAAACTGAAAAGCTTCACTTTCCTGGATTTCACTTCAGCCATAGATTTGGGACAGCCATGTAAAAGTAACATACCTCCATGATAGCCTTGTGTGCGGGCACTCTGCTTCTCATACAGCCAGACCATACTCCCCCGTCTCAAGTTGTATAACTAGAGATTACTGGGCCCATGAGAGGCATGGAGAATCCTCCCCATGTAGAGGAGAACCACAGTTTCCCAAGGCTTGTTCTTCCCCTGGGAGAAGGGGCTTGTAAAAGTCAGGATGGTGTCTTTACTTCATTTAGTTCAAGCGGCCTGCACAATTGAAGGGGGTCAAATGCTTTATAAAGTCGGCCGTTAGCCTGATCCCTCTCTCTCTGGGAAACAATCTGTGTGGGAGCATTTTTGTGTGACAAAGAATAATGGGTAGCTGCCAGAGGGAATGGAGTCCCAAACCATGGTGCCAAAGGGTTGGCAAGTCACTTCAGGGAGAGCCTGGCCGTCTGTTGAGAGCGCTGCATGTGCCAACATCTGGCTCACACAGAGGAAATTTTATATTTGCCGAAAACCACGTAAGGACACACTGTGGTTGGCCCAAGGCTGCTCTTGCTGAGGTATGGCCAACACTCCCTGAGGAAAGTAGGAAAGAGGGCAGAGGGCAGTGGCTGAAAAACTCCATAGTACAGAGAAATGCAGAGTGGCTGATGACAACTAAAGTCCAGGTGGGTGTTTGGGTTTCTTTTAGGTTCAGTGAAAGTGCTCAGATGCCAGGCCTTTATCCTTGCTGAATCATTATTCTTTCTGCCTCCTACTCTGAAAGCCCTTTGTGTGCCAGGGTGTTCTTGATAGTGGAGCTAGAGCGAGCTTTGTGCATTGTCGGGCACGCCCTCAGAACCTGTGTGTGCTCTCTGACATCCCATTCTGGGTCATGTGGATAATCGATGGAAAATGGCTACAGAGAATGTCTTGGAGAAGTAACACTTATTTTTTAAAGAAAGGGCTAAAGGTCTGGGGCCAGTTCTACCCATTCTTTCTGTTTGTTGGTGTGTCCTTGGCATTAGTAGTTTATTTTTTTTGCGGGGGGTGGGGGGAGTGGGAGTGGTTCTTTTTTTGAAATTAAAGCATGTCTTCAAAAAACTACTCCAAAACAAGAATAAGCCTCATGAACCTCAGGATCAAATTTACTTGCTTAACCACCATGAATGTTGACAATGAGGGTTTTCGTCCCCAGGTAGAGGATTGATTTCATGTCCTCTCAGGCTAGACAGTGGCCCTGAACTTGCCTGTCCACAGAACTTTTTCCCACAAAGCAGCTGCACACCTATATCCACTTCAATCTTGCCTCCTCTAAACAAGAGTAGGGAGCTTTGCAGCTCATCAGAGGGAATCAAGAGTTTTCTTACTTCACACCCAGAAGGCTTTTCTCAGTTCCAGACCCAGGAGAAAGTCAAGGCCATGAATTCTTGAAAAAGAGACAAGGACATGTTAACTGACCTCTTCCTGAACCCGAGATTTCAAGTTACCTGGATCTTTGCCACTATCCTTATCAATTCCCTATGTTTTACTCAGCCCACAGGGCAAACTTTGATTTTGAGGAAACAGCAAGTATGAGCTATCAGAAATCTTTTGATTACTAAATTGGAGCAAGCATAACTTCAAATAAACAGGCAGGCTGAGAAAAAACATCTCAGTTCCAAACGGTTTAGGGCAGAACCCCGAGTGCAGGGCACGGTTGTCTGGCTTCCTTGGTTGAAAGCAGTGAGGAGGTGGCATGTAAGTCCTATAATCCGAGGGAACATGAGAGACTACCTTACTTCTATTTATTCTCACAGAAGCAGCCGGACACACTTGTAAATTAGTTTGTGAGCCACAGAGGGTAGATGAAAGAAACTTTTCTAAAACCAGCCTGTTACAGACAGGAAGAAAGAATGAAATCAATGAAAGAGAATGAAGAAACACAGTGTTAAAAAATAAACAAAAAATCTAGCCCTAAGATTCTAAGAGGACAGTGTTTTTCTTATGCCTGGTTTGTGTCCCTGTGGGAAGTATAAAGTGATTCTTGATTGTGACACTTAATTTGGCTGGTATTGACTTTTCCTGGACACATCCGTGTAATTTGCTTTTGGCTTCTGGATCTGGGAACATGAGACCCCTTGGTCAGATTTAAACCTCTAATTGCACTTTTCATTTTAAATCAATTCAAAAATAAAACCAGGCCAGGGAGATAGCTCCCAAACAAATAAAATTGTTTGTCAATTTTAAAGACTAAATTGCATGAGGGGGTGGCAGCCAAACTTACAACAGGTCTATTTCCTTCCTTTAGGGTGATCCAGTCCTCCCCATTGGAGCTGACATCTATTCTGTACGTCTTGACGTAGTATTTCTTCTTGGTTTCCTTTGAAATGGCTCCCTGTGTTCCGATGGCAGTGACAAAGCGCAGAAAGCCCAAATCCACCTGCAAGACAATATATGCCTGGTCAGTTGCTCATTCTGCACCACCATTTCCCGGAGCGTCTCTCCCCGTGGGCTCCACAATATAGTTTCCTTCCACTAGGGCTCAATGGACCCTAATTCCATCTGGCATCAACAACCCCAACTTCCAATTCCATTCCAGATATGATAAGACAGCAATTGCCTTGGGTTGGCAATTCCCAGGAGATCTTTCTCATTGCTGTACCAAAATTGCGTGATCTCTAGTACAAAAGAGAAAACTGAGTTCAATATCATGTTGCTGTGTTTTCTGAGAGATTAAAAATACTCTCCAAATAGCCATTAATATATGTCATTTTACCAATAGAAAATCAAGACAAGATAAACATAGATATTAGATACTGGAGAGGCCTGGATTGGAACTCAAGTCTAACACGGTCCTATTTCCCATCACTCTTTAGCATCCTACCTCCTTCTCAATAGGATGCAGACTGAAACAATACTGACTTTGAAAGCACTGTGCGCGTTGTGGTTTGGGAAATGAACCCTCGAGTTGTTCCTACAAAGATATGATATGGGTGAGAAGGACAAAGATCTAAGCATCAGTCGCTCCAGGTTCTAGTACTGGCTCTGCCATTAGCTAGCTGTTGAACCACTTCATCTTCAGGCTTCCAGTTCTTCGTTTTAAAACGAAGAAGTTGGACTAGATCACCTGGAAGGCCCCCATTTAGCTCTGACTTCCTATGATTCCATGTTTTCAGTAAAGTAAAATAGCTTTTTTCTTTAACTATTTTTATTTCCATCATTAAGAACCAAGAATGATCTTAAAACAAAAGCTGTTACTAGTTTCTATATATTCGAAATATATTCTGTTTCCTATTATGGACAATTTGATTATTCCCATCAAATTATTTCCCTGTATTTATTGTACCCTCTATTTATTGTATGTCTGTATAATACAGAAACTTTAAAGAAATGAAAAACAAATATATGGCAAATGTTTTTAAAAGGACATAGAAAGTAATTGCGTAATATCAACTGATAAACATTTACAAGATATTTCAACAGTATATTCATTATTAAGAGGCAAGAGAATGCCATTTTCTCTAAAAACATCAATAAAAGCCAAAAAACAAAAACACAAACATAATTTCTGAATCCTGCTTTCCAGTTACTACATGACCCAACCCAATTTTCAAAAAACAATATTTCAATTAACCCTCTAGTGCCCATAGGCCATGAACATCTAAAGAATTTCCATTTTATGCATAGACTGCCTCATGAAGAATGACTCCTGAAGAATTTCTTTCATAATTTGCTTTTTCCTAAAGGCCTTTGGAATAATTAAATTGACATGTTGCCAGTTCCTTCAAAACTGAACCAACAGTTATATCCAGGAAAACCGGCAATATCCCTGGCACATAGAAGCCAATTTGAAATTACACAATTCAAAAATAGGAGATTTCATCTAGAAAAGAAGGGAGTACCATTCAAGGTAAAACAATCTTTAGTCCATTTAACTGATTTTAAAGATGTAAAATCTATTCTCTGAATGCTTTTACCAGATTTAAGAAAAAAAAATGCAAGATTTTAGTAGAAACTAATATTTTAGGATAATAACGGTTGATGTTTTCAATTTTAATTTAACAAATACTTATTTACCCAACACATTTTTTATGGAGTACGTAAAATCTGCATTTCTTTCAAAAGTGAACCATGATACTTTGTATGAATTTGTGCACAAATTTCAAAAAAGGGAGACAATCCAGGTTTACTAGATTTAGCAAGTGAAAATACAAGATGTTCGGTCAAATTTGAATTTCAGAAAAACAACAAATATTTTTAGTATAAGCATGTCCTATGCAACATATGGGACATACTAACAACTGGGTCATTGCTTACTCAAAATCCAAATTTAACTGACTGGGCATTCTGTATGTTATCTAGCAAGTCTAAATCTTACTCAGTTCCAGGCAAATAATCAGATAATTTTAAGTTGCTGCAAAAACTCTGATTTCCTAATGCTGCAATCTGAAAGTTAATGGGTGTTCTGGAAATGGCTGCGCTGAACAATTTCAATTGTTTTTAAAAGCTCTCAGAACACTTAGAGTTTTACTCACTGTCCACTGAGTCATGCCCAATGCCATAGTCCCTTTCAAGCTGAAGGGCCCTTAAAAATCTTGACAACCAAGGGAGCATGAAGCAGAGCTATTTAAATAAACTCTTCTTGTCAAACTTACAAATGGCTCTGCAGTTTGGAAACGATTGAATTCCCAAGAGTATATATTCAGCTTTGGCTGATTTGAAATAACTCTAGAACTTCACTCCCTGGCTGTCCTTTTCCTGCTTTTCAAATTTTGTTTTTAGGATAAAGTTTTGTTACCAGGTAGGAAAGAAGTTAACTGGTGGCCACCTAGAAGAATTCTAGGCACTAGAAACAGTTGATGTAAAAGGAAGAAGCAATTTGCTGGAATTAACAAGGGACCCAACACCAGAGGCGTCCAAGGTCCCAGACAGAAAGGCCCCAAAAGCGTATGCATGAATCACTTATAAAAAAGAAAATATATTTTCTTTTCTCAGTGGCAATGAAATGCATTAGCAACCTCCCCTTGTAATTGCATAAAGTCTCCTGCTGTGCTTTAACTCTGCAGATTCTCTTATTTACCACACTGGGATACTTGACATTTCATTTCATTTTTCTTCCTAACATTACTGCCACTGGGTTTAGTAATGATGAATGACAACCTCACAATATGACTAAAGCTGGGAACCATTGCAATTAAAATTGGAAGGTTACCCAGAACTCTAACAAGACACAGCCTCCCCAGCACTGTGGGAACTCTCACTGTCAAGGCTGGGGAAGCTCTTTTAAGTCCATTCTCCCTGGGCACCTGAGGAGAATGCCCTAACAGAGACCCTCCTGTGCCTGATTGTTTGGGAGGCGAGACACAGCCTTCCACCTCAGAAGTGCCACTGATCACACCGATGGTGTCTGTGTCAGGAGATTCAGAAGGACTGCAAGCCTGTGTGTATACCTTTCTCACGGGTGAAGCCGTCCCTGCCAATCATGTCACTGTCCTCTGTTTACCTTTTTAATCTCACCTGCTGCGTCTATTCCCCTCCAACCATATCTTTCTTCTAGATCTATTAAAATATTTGTTATGCCTAACACAAGAGAAGCCTTTTCTGCCTGCCTTCCTTGTGTAAAGTTCTCTCGGCTTAATCATTTCCTCTTTGTTGACAACAAGTGACTTTTTCCTTTTTCTGGTCTGCTGGGCAGAGTAAGTCACTTTTTACCCCAGAATATTAAGTCATAGCTCATGTCTCCGTTATTAAATCCATCATGTGTTTTTGCTCTACCTCCATCCAGACTTTTATGATTTCTTTTAGGGAATATCTGCTTTCCTATATGGTAAAGTAATAAAATGCCTGCTGAAAATTCATAAGATGCAGAAAAGATTAGAGAAGAAAATAAAATCTCCATAAGACCAACATTAGGAAATAACCACTGATAATAGCCTTCCAGACTTTTTCTTATGCAAAATACATGTGAATATTGTGTGTATGTTTTGTTATTATAAAAATGAGGTGCTATTACCTCTATGTTTGATAACCAGCTTTTTGTTTAGTTTTATGAATGTATTTCTAAGACAAAATATTTTTCTACATTATCGTTTTTCATTGGCTTCACAGTATTTTGTAGTATAGTTATAGCGTAATCTATTTAATCGGGCTGCTATCCGTGAACATCGGTACTCAATTTGATTGACATTCATTCAGCGGACATATAATTCTGCTTATCTGCTAAGTTCTGCATTAAGTGGTGAGGATATAAAGAGCAGTAAGGGAGTGGGAAGCACACACACATGATTACAGAATGGGGCAATGTGCATAAAGTGCGATGCAGCACAAAGGAAGGAATCAACACCTTACCAGAGAATTGGAGGTAGGGAGATTAGAGACATTTTACAGCTGACTTTGATGTCTAAGATACATATTTAAGGATACACAGTAGGAGTTTGCAAGTGTGTGCAAAGGGAAAGAATGTTCCAGGAAGAAGGAGGAGCAGGAAGTGCAGAGGCAAGGAGAAGGAAACGAATGAATGAGATGACAGACACTAAATAGTCTATCATGTTTCCTCACCTTCTATAGACATTTGTCAAGAAATGTATTGATCTCTAAAGAATATTGTGCTCTGGTAATTTTAAAGCCAAAATAATCAGTTGTCATGAAAAACATTCAAAATCAGCCATGATCATCCTCTTGGTTTAGCTTTTTGAATTATGATGAGCTCTCGTCAACCTCACATTCTAACAGACAAGTTTGGCGACTCAAGACAGGCAGCTGGAAAGACAAAGATACAATCCAGAGCAGTTCTATATAATGCCACCCCTCTGTGCTTTGAGGGTTCATTGTCCTAACAATACTTCCTTTCTTTCTATAAAAATTCAGACACACAATAACCATAATTAAATAACCTGCTTTCCCTAAATCCAATCAGCTATGCTCCAATCACTGTTTTCTTATTTTGAAAGAACATCATTATTTCACAGCTGCTTTATTTTTAATTAAAAGATGGATGTGATTTCACAACTGAGTTTGTTGTACTTCTGTTTAACATTAAGGGTAATGGTGAGGGGGTGTGATGATGTGTGGGGGTATGCACAGAGCCGAACATCAAATGCATTCACTAAAATTGTTGAATGTTTCACTCCATGTGTGTGTGACACACATAAACATCTGGTACTTATCTGATGGTATGGAGATTATTTTATAGAAGTTTATCAAACTACTATTGAGTGGCCTCTCTTTGAGCTGGCTTATGTAGCACAACCAGCAGAAGTGACCCAATATGACATCTTGTTTCCAATATAAATATAAAAGACTAATAGCGCTGGTAGGATGTCTACCTACATCTTGCTTTTATTGTGCTCCACATACAAAGAGAAGACATTACTAGGCAACAGATAAAGAAGAGGAAGTTCTGACTTTTATTTTGGGGAAGAGGCACACTAGTAGAAGAAA